TCAAATGTTGCCGAGCCGAGATCGATCAAACGCACACGAGCATCCTCAACCACTTTCATCGGCCTCTTCTTCTTACTATCTTCAATCACTCTAAAAAACAAATCCGAAATCTCCAGACTATCTCTCCGGAACAACAACACATGCGCCTTATTATAGCGGGAGGATTCCCAAAACAAACAGTCACGAAGACAGCTCAACCTGAATATCATTCTCAAGTCCCAAAATTGCAAAAACGCAAACAGCTACAATCTAACGTCATGAATTTAATTTCACGTCATTCGACAACAGATCTTAGAAATTAGCATGTTTTAATCTCAGATCGCATAGGTGAGTCTACCAGCTGCTAGAACAAAAAAATGAATTATTGTACGATGAACCAAAAATTTGAAAATTTGCGTGCTTCAGAATTTCTCTCGGACTCTAGAATCCGGAAAAAACTCTAAATCAAGCAAACTTTCATAACAGTTCCGGAGCTTCCATAGCAGTTCTAGCCAGAAAAACTCCGGCGGAATAGCAGGGAGAAAGGAAAGGATGCACATGGATCACGTGTTCTGGAACAGCAGTCCAGGAAAATAGGGAAAGAAAAACTTATTTCAAGTCTCAAGACCCTTAAAAGTGAAATATACCGAGATTTCTAGGCTCCGCATCCCCGGGACTGAACCATCCAAATAAGCACTTAGAAATATGCCGTCCCATCACATGTTTTCGCGCTGCTCGCGAAAAAAACACAACGTTTTTAAAGTTCACGGATGCGCGATTATTCACAGTTGGCCGTTTCGACGAAACAGAACACAACACGGTGCAAAAATGAGTATTCAGAGCGAAATATAAAAGTGTAAAAGAAAATAAAAATACGATTTAACAAAAAAAAAAAAATAGATTTTATCTGGAAAAGCGTGCCTGTAGTTGCTGTTGACGAACAATATATTTTCAGGCTTGAGATCGGTGTGCGTTAGTCGATTGTCGTGCATAAATTTAACCGCATAACATAACTGATAAGCAATATACCGCGCCTGATCCATCGGATACGCTTGGTAATTATTCGCTTTCTGAAGTAGACAGTGCTCGTAAATGTGATGGCAGCAAATGATCGGTGACAAAGAGCCAAAATTCAACAGCCAGTTCTTTTTTGCCTAAACAATGAAAAGATAAAGTAAAGACAGGGACAGGCAAATGGGTGCAGCACGAATGACAGCAAACGTCAGCAGCAACCACACGGTGGTAAGGCGACAGCCTGTGGCTCTTTCTTACGAGAACTGCTTGAAAACGAACTGACGAATGCCTCCCGACAAAATGCCAGCATCAATTTCGCATCAAAATAAATGAAAGAATCGTGGAGAGATAAGGTTATGCCTCTGGCGCCGTTAGATTCACAGTTATGACGTAGAAGGGCGCCACTCCAAGATCTCTATAGGATATTCATTCGTTCCTTCGTTTCGGTAGTAAATCAATAGTGGTAAATGCCAGGAAGCTGAATCACCATCAGCTTGCTTCTAAGCAACTCTCGAAATACACGGACACCAAAAGCCTTCCAGCGAGTGGTTGTTGTTGGCACTTGATGCCCGAGTCCTCAGTACCTCCGCTTCTTTTTTCGGGAATAAGGAAGGAGTTTTGCCTTTGCTCACTGTCAAAAAAATCTTCACGGAAATTCACACAGAAATTTTCCTTATATCGTTAACATCGCTCAGACAATCTCTGTGCAACTTTCGACATTAGAGAAGAGCGCGCCAAGCTCTGCTTTTTGCTGCACGCTTCTACGACAATGTATAGATTAAAGTGATACTTTGCTCACTGTTTTGAATCTGGTTTCGTTTACCATTCAAGTAAGTATTAATGAGCTCAAACCCAGCCCCGGGTAAGCGTGGTACCTACGTACGGGCCCTTGAAAATTTCTTTCGCGCAAGTTGCTAACTCCGGCGTATGAGAAGCTAGAAGACTGGAATTTTTAAGGTGCTATAAACTTCGTCCCAAGCCGCTTTCCACTAATATTGTAAAGGACAAATGAGTGCTTTCTAATGAAGTAATGAATGCCTTTTGTAAACTGTCACAGGTTTGTTTTTGCGCTGGCTGAGACTCGCTCAGCCACAAATCAGTAAAATGAGCAAAAAACACACCATAAAATCGAAGACACTAAGGCCGAGCAAATCAAACAACAAACAGACGTGTCCAAAATAATCGAAACTATCAAGCAACTGGATCACCAAGCTGAAAAATTCATTAGAATTTGCACAATCTGGAACTAAAACTTTACCTGCACAAGATTCGGCACGAAATTAATGAAAATAATTTAAATATCGCTAGGACATCTTTCTCAAGCTTTTATCTCTATAAACTGAATTAAAAAATAAAAAATAAATAGCAATGCGCACCAGACTAGCCGGTGCGATCATGCGTTTTGTGCAAATCAACCCATCGAACGATTGCCTATTAATGTTTTCTACTGCTCTCTACTTTAGTCTATGCAAAAATAGTTCAAACACTGGAAAACAGTTAGAAATTTCACGTACCAGCGCATGAAAGCTGAATTCGAAACCTTGAAGGATGAATATCTTGTCGTGATTCCCGAGTTAACAGTTTACCCGCCAAAATTTTCACGAGGCCGTAGGTGGTGTTCGAGAGTGCGAGAACGCTGAATTTGAATAGGCAAGGTTGAGCGGGGACAGGTGGTCATTCCCCTAAAATTTCAGCCTCCTAGACTCCATGGTTCCCGAGGTATTAACTTACCGGTGAAAAACTTTCACGGGGCCGTACGCGTTACCCGCGGGTACGGGGAAGCTGAATTTAAATTTGCG